GCCAGTCGAAGAGGTTTCTCGATTCGAGGGGGTGGGGGGTTTAGGGTTTAGGCTTTAGGCTTTAGGCTTTAGGCTTTAGGCTTTAGGGTTTAGGGTTTAGGGTTTAGGATTTAAACCCAAAACCCTAAACCCTAAACCCAAAGGAGACCAGGAGTCATCTGAAGAGCCCCATATGGAAGCCGCGCCCGACCTCTACTTGAAGGTTCTTGGGTAAGCAGCAAGTAATGGGAAAGCTTCGGGTTCAGGGTCTATAGGGTTTAGCGTTTAGGGTTTAGGGTTAGGGTTTAGGGTTTAGGGGGAATTCAGTGCCTGAGTGCGGGTTCTAATCGTAAATGCAGTCGCTACCCACGAACCCAACCTCATGCCTCCAACTGAAAGCGGGGGCACAGCTCGGTGAAACTGCTTGGAGGTTCATGGTAAGGGTTTAGGGTTTAGGGTTTAGGGTTGAGGGTTGAGGGTTGAGGGTTTAGGGTTTAGGGTTTAGGGTTTAGGGTACTTAGTACCCCAACTATAACTGTACTTCTAACCCCAACTGTAAATCATCCCACTAGGGTACTTAAGGGGCTTGTATGTGGGCTATAGCTACACTTATCCATGGGTTACTCGGACCCAGAGTAGGCCCTTGTTCCCCTTTGGTTGCTAAGTACCCTAAACCCTAAACCCTAAACCCTAACCCTAAACCCTAAACCCTAAACCCTAAACCCTAAACCCTGAACCTCCAAGTAGCAGGACGGCGAGTCCGCCGCCAGCGCTGTGGCCGGACTCGTGGGAGGCCTGCAGAGAACCTACCACTTGCTTAAGGGTTGTTTAGGGTTTAGGGTTTAGGGTTTAGGGTTTAGGGTTAAGGGGTTTAGGGTTTAGGGTTTAGGGTTATTAAGGGTTTAGGGTTAAGGGTTTAGGGTTTGGGGTTTAGGGTTTAGGGCCTAAGAGCCCCTCATCCCAAAAATAATAGGTATTCTTCCTGATGAGGGTAATAGAGGGGGTCTTGTTTTTTTTGGTTCGTCAGCAAATCGTCGTAACTGTCAGGATCGGGCTGGAGTGAGGGTTTATGCTTTACCATACGGGGGTTTCCGAAAACAGGGGGTACCCTTTGGGAGGCTCCCTGTAAGGGGAGTCTACTCTATTCGGGGTAGAAAAGGGTTTAGGGTTTCGGGTTTAGGGTTTAGGGTTTAGGGTGTTTTTGAGCTACCCATACGGAGGCAGTACCGGAAGATCTCTAGTTCTGCCATGGGGAGTGCGCCTTCGACGAACATCAGACGTTCAGCTCCCGACCAGTGTCGTGTTCAAGCGCTCGCCTGAAAGGCGCGGCCTTCTGGGGCTTCATGTACTGGCTCTTCTTCAAGGCCATAGTTGGGTTTAGGATTTAGGGTTTAGGGTTTAGGCTTTAGGCTTTAGGCTTTAGGCTTTAGGCTTTAGGCTTTAGGGTCAGGGTAAATGGGTGCAAGTCTGCTTTCCCTTGTGCCCTGATCGGTCATAGCTGTGCACATGAGTCTCCATGCCGTGGCTTCAACACCCGGATGCAGAGACATGCCGAGACTCTTCCATCGCTTCGGCAGTCACTTGATCTCCGCTACCACGTAGTCCAACAGCTTTTCTACGTACCATTTAGGGTTTAGGGTTTAGGGTTGGGTTTAGGGTTTGGAACAAATTTTGTGCCCCAGGCCATCGCGACCATCACCAAGCTGGTGCAGGCGAGACACAGCACAAATACACAGACCATAGCCACTTTCGTAATTTAATAATTTAGTACTTTCGTACTTTAGTAATTTAGTAATTTAGAACTTTAGTCCTTTAGTAATTTCGTAATTTAGTAACTTATAGAGTTGTGTGGACAGGCTGTGATTCGTAGGCCAACTATGAAGCCATCGAGCCGCGGGAGCTGTCAGGGGTTGTCTTCAAATTGGCTAGCATATGTAGATGTGTATGTATGTATGTATGTATGTATGTATGTATGTATGTATGTATGTATGTATGTATGTATGTATGTATGTATGTATGTAGTATGTATACACAATGTACAAGGACATGGTATATGAAACAATGGATGGTTGTCTTCATATGTACGTGCACATATATATATATATATATATGTATATATGTATGTATGTATGTATGTAGATACATATACATATATCGGTATATATCCATAGGGCTTACTGTATATATGTGTATGTATATGCATATGCATATGCATATGTATATGTATATGTATATGTATATGTACATGTATATGTACATATCTATCTCTCTCTATACATATACACACATCAATAACCTGTGTATTAAATGATCTTATTCGGCATAATATGTTGTTACGTTTCATTAGTTCTTAATGCTACTATGTGTAGTAGGTCTGTATTTTGCAATACACTATTTATAATAAATACTATGTATAGTAAATGATAAGCAGTAGATATGTGTATGTACGTATTTATCAAGTAAAAACTACTCTAGAATGCGTAACATTTAATATACAATGTGCATCAACGTGCAATATATAGATTTCAACACAAGATGTGTACTGCATAAAGATATACTATATGGAAATACCTAACCCCTAAACCCTAAACCATCATCTACATGTATAGATTTACACTCATACATAACGTAAGACAATGTTTAACGCTACGCGACCCGCCTCGGCCTGGGCCCGTGGTGCGTAGCCACGGCAGCGGCGGGACAAGGTCGCCACTTGCAGGAAAGCTGGGTTTGGGGTTTAGGGTTTAGGGTTTAGGGGTTTAGGGGTTTAGGGGTGTAGGGGTTTAGGGGTTTAGGGGTTTAGGGGTTTAGGGGTTTAGGGTTGAGGGTTTAGGGTTTAGGGGACGAGGGGTGGAATGGATAAGGGAGGCGGGGCAGGGGCTGTAGCTATGGTGGGCCCTCAATGCCCGTGGTTCTGATGCACCGTCCGCTCCCGGGGCTATATGGGGCATCCATTCCGGGCAAAAAAGTAGGGGACAGCAAACCTGCACACGTCGCATGGTTTATGCTACCCGGACTCCTACCGCCCGAGGCCTCGGCAGATATGATGCATATCGATCTATCCATCTATCCATCTATCTTTGTATATATATATATATAGGTATATATACATGTATTTAGATGTCATTTCACATGATTTTTGTATGATATACTTCATCTTTGATGTGTATATACATAAATACATGTGTATATACATATAGGTATGTATACAGATAAGTAAAGAGCCATGTGTGTTGCATATGTTTCTAATAGGTAATGCCGGTTGGTGAGTTTTCTGCGCTCTGCTTCTGCGTGCCTCGGTTTCTCGTACTTCTCTCTCGCGCTCCATCTGCCTTCCTTGAAGACCCGTCTCCCCAAGCTGCTGGTACTTCTGCTGCAGTCGTCGCGGTCTCTTCCAGGGTGTCCTGCTACTCTCTAAGGCTCTCTAAGCTTCCCAAGGGTTCCCTAGGTACCTACCCCCCTTGAACCCCCCTCCCTTCAGAACCCTAAGCCCGGAACCCTAAACCTACAATCCTGCTTGCCTCCCAGTCGCAAAGATGCTGTTTGTTGCGCAGGGCAAACCTCAGCTGGAGATTGCCAGCTTCGTGACCTTGAGCCACCTGGCCCCAACAGCTTAGAATCTTCTGGGTCTTCTTCAGGGAAGGCTACCTGAGTTCAGCAACAACTCTGTGTTTCTGTGTGTGTGTGTGTGTCACATAGTCTGTGTGGTTCCCGACGTGGCGATCCCTTGCCCAGTTGGGGCTCTAAGCTAAGGGCCCCAGCCTGGAGGCCTTTCATACGGGGCTTCCTTACTTCAAGAGACAACACCCAAACAAGAATCTCAATGTAGGGCAGCCCTCAGTTAAAGTGGCAAAGGTTCGACTCATGTTGATATGGGGGGTTGCGATATTAAGGGGTGCCTTATTTGGGGTCCTGATTATAAGGGGATCCTACCATTTGGGGTCTATATTGCGGGTGCCTTGTTATCGAAACCCTTATATAGTTGTTCCAAGCGTTGTTGCATTGTTTGTCCTTGTAGGGTTCAGGGTTTTTCTTCTTGTCCTGGTAGGGTTTGGGGTTTTGCTCCTGCCCACAAAGCCCCAAACCTTCCGCAAGCCGGAAGAACGCAAAACAAGACGACGTCGAGATTGTGTACTGCAGGGCCTAGGGCAAGTAGAAGACGCGTATCCTGAATGGAACAACATCGTTTTCTTCAAGTCGGCCGGAACAGATTCAGAACCCTAAACCCTAAACCCTAAACCCTAGACTGCTTTTTGGCCAATCACACTGCAGCCCAAACTTGAGCTTGAGGGTGAGATGTTCCCCCCTTATCCTGACAGTCCTTATTTGGGAGTATAATAATCCTACTATAATCCCTATGGAGGACTGCTAGTATAAGGGGGAACATCCCAATGTTGAGGTCTCTTCCCGCTCCTTTTGGTTCGGAACTTCAGCCGCACTGGGCCAGTCTGGATGGCAGTCTGGATCTCGCGTTGTGGCAAGGGCTCTCTGAAACTGCAGCATCAGCTGCGTACTAAACCCTAAACCCTAAACCCTAAACCCCAAACCCGACGTTGGGGCAGCTTGCGGAAGGAGGTATCAGGAAGCAGTCAGGGTCCACTGTTGCGTACCCTGGGATAGGTGAGCATGGAGAAGGGTGCGCTCGTTCGCATGATCAGGATCTCGTAGTTGGGTCGAGGGTTTAGGGCCTAGGGTTTAGGGTTTAAGGTAATTGGCAGAGGTGTCGCTTGCGGCAAACTTTGCAAGCCTCTTCGTTGATTGCATCGCCAGTGGCTTTCAAGGCCTTGCGGCTGTCACGGCCGGCTGTACATACAGGAAGCCGCTTCGTCACGTGAGTCCTTTTACACCAAAACCAAGGCTACATCGCTCTGCCAGGGGCAGTGTGGACGTTTGTGGCCATTTAATGTACGTTTTCGACAGCCATAAGCACAACTGATTTGAACAGACCCTAAACCCTAAACCCTAAACCCTGAACCACAATCCGACCTTGGCCCTGCCATGGTTTGGCTCCCGTTTGGACTATGAGCCTCACCGCTGTCAGTGACCATCAGTATGCGGTTGTCATCCAGAAGAACACGTCTCAAGACACCGAGACTTGGATGGTTTAGGGTTTGGGGTTTAGGGTTTAGGGTTTAGGGTGTGGGGTTTCGGGGGCATTGGGCGACATAGCCTTGTGTTTGCCAGGGGTGCTGCAAGAGTTTCTTAAATCCATGGCGAAATATTGCGAAGCTTCTGAAACCCTAAACCCTAAACCCTAAATCCTAAACCCTAAACCCGAAACCCTAAACCCTAGACCCTAAACCCTAAACCCTAAACCCTAAACCCTAAACCCTACACTGGGCGAGGCAAGCTTTGGCTTTGCTCTTCTCACAAGCTCGTTGATCGGCATCAGCAGCTGCGTAGCCTTCTTCTTCTTGCGGCAGCGGTTTCCGATGGTCTACGAGGGCACTGGCTCGTGCTTGTCCCAGCACAAGTGTCAATGAGTGATGCGAAGTCAGATGCCCCTAAACCCTAAACCCTAAACCCTAAACCCTAAACCCTAAACCCTAAACCCTAATTAAACCCTAAACCCTAAACCCTAAACTCACATGGACTTGCAGGTCCAAGGACCGGCCAGAGCTGCCCCATTCTTCTGCCAGCTTCTTCGGATGGCTCCGTGCAAGCGCGTCCTTCAGGCGAGCAGTGCGACTGGTGTCAAGTGACGGTGAGTGTTTTGTTAGGTTTTAGGGTTTAGGGTTCAGGGTTCAGGGTTCAGGGTTTAGGGTTTAGGGTTTAGGGTTTAGGGTTGTGTTTGCTCATGCGATAGCGCAGGCTTGATGATGCCATGGATCATGTTGGCATGGACCAGATCATGATGCTGGAGTTCACCCATCTCAGCATGAAGGTGGCTGCCTGCCGCAGTTTCTCTTGATTCCCGAGCAAGATTCTGTAGTGTGAGCTGGATACCTTCATGTGTTCTCCTACTACCCCCTTAACGCAACCCCCCCTATATAGGTTCCCCCTTAAAATAACCTGAATTAGGCCGAACTATCCCTAAATGGCCTCAATTCTGGGGGGAACCTAGGGGGGGTAGTTTACCGGGGCAGTAGGGGAACCCATGATACCTTCGTATGAAGTAGGTGATGTTCGGGATTGGCATTCCGGCTTTGGCGGTTCTCGCACCCCTACACGCTCGATCAACTGGCGGAGCTGATGACGACCTGAGTAGAATCAGATTCTCGGCTTGTTTGGGGTTTAGGGTTTAGGGTTTAGGGTTTAGGGTTTAGGGTTCTTTCAGCAACCCGAGGCTGCAGATTCTTCCGCAGTTTGTGGTACTGCAGGAACCCCCGCAAGCGAATCTGAGCATTGATACTCAGGCTTGAGCAACCTCGATGCAGAATCCTGGATTCTTTGGGTCCATGCCGCGTTTGTGTGGTACGTGGTCCTGCTGGTGCTTTACCTGGTGCAGCACTGAGATGTGCAGCACTGCCTCACCATACCCGCAAGTACCTGCAAGAGCTGTCCCTAAGCCATTACTGCAGTCAAAACTGAAACGATGGCATGCCAAGGTGTGGCACGTGCAGCATCGAAAATTCCGACCGAGACGGAGCCGTTTCTTGCTGAGCTAGAGCCGCGTCCCTGCGACCCTCTAATTTCCGCCACATCGTCTGAAAAGGCGCTTGTCTAGCATGGCAGATGCTTGAAACAACCCTTCTTGCTCCAGCAGCGCACCCTAAACCCTAAACCCTAAACCCTAAACCCTAAACCCTAAACCCTAAACCCTAAACCCTAAACCCTAAACCCTAAACCCCTAAACCCTAAACCCTAAACCCTAAACCCTAAACCCTAAACCGTGAGTGTCCATCTTGAGTGCCGCATGAGCAATGAGGTTGGCTCGCGAGCATGCCAGAGGCAAGAGCCACCACCGTGCTCGTCGAAGGCAACGGTCTCTGTGTGGCGCTCCTTTTCTTATTTTTTTTTAGGGTTTAGGGTTTAGGGTTTAGGGTTTAGGGTTTAGGGTTTAGGGTCTCTGGTCCAATAAAGTGGCTGCATATAGTGGTGGGCGCAGGAATCCCGGAGTACAGCCGCACGGAGGCAGCCATGGCCGCTGGGTCTTGTTGACAGGGTTTAGGGTTTAGGGTTTAGGGTTCAGGGGTTTAGGGTTTAGGGTTTAGGTTTTAGGGTTTAGGGGGCGTTCAGGATGTCAGTTTTTCGGGATGTTCCCCCTTATACTAACAGCTCCTTACTGGGCATGATAATCGGCGGTACTATAGAATCCTTATTGAGGACTACATCCCGAATGTCAGTGGATTTGTCAGATACTTTCTCAGGGTGCGGTTGTTGCGAGCGGACAGGGCTACCCAGAGGCTCCAGTACTCCTTAAACTTAAGGAATATGCCTTAAACCATACAAGGAACCTCATTGTGATTTTAGTAATATTCCTTAATTAAAGGGTATTGGAGTCTCTGGATGGAATTTGAAACCACCCTCGCTCTGTTCCAGCGAACTTTGCAAAAGGCATCAAGCACAGATCATGGCCTTCACAATCCTGCGCCATTGCCACCAGGGTTTAGGGTTTAGGGTTAGGGTTTGGGGTTTAGGTTTCGGGTTTAGGGCTACTGAGGCCAAGTTCTTTGACGACATCTTCGGGAAGCCTGTGGTCAAGGATGTCGTTTTCGTGCGAGACACATCGTCGCTGATTCCGCTCATCGAGGCCTGCCCCTGAGTCGCTGATAGGTGAGGTGGGTTTAGGGTGTAGGGTCCCCTGGTTCTTAGTGGGGAATGTGGGAATTAGGGGCCCATTATATACCCTATTCTATAGGGTACCTCATTCCCTCATTCCTTATTAAGAACCACTCACCGCCCTTGGAGGTCCCTGGGGTACTTAGAACCCCAACGAGGTTCAGGGTTTGGGGTTCGGTGTTCAAAGGGTTTTGGGTTTAGGGTTTTGGGGTTTAGGGTTCAAAGGGTTTAGGGTTTAGGGTTCATGGTCACTCATAACCGCAATTCTAACTGCACTTCGAAGCTCCCCAAGTCCCCTAAGTAGGTTACACGAAGACTAAAATTTGGAGTTGTAGGTTATACTGAACCCTAAACCCTGAACCCTAAGCCCTAAACCCCAACCCTAAACCTTAAACCCCAACCCTAAACCTTAAATCCTAAATCCTAAACCCGAAACCCTGAGGCTATCAGTACCCCTCTGAACCTCCAGTAGCCTCGAAGTCATGGGACGCCCCAGCTTTTTTGTAGGTGCGGGACGAGCTCTCAGAAGAGCTGGCCCAGGCACGGGTTAGGGCCTAGGGGTTTAAGGGTTTAGGGTTTAGGGTTTAGGGTTTAGGGTTTGGGGGGGCGGAGGGGGGGGGGGCTTAGGGGCTTAGGGCCTAAACCTTAACCCCTATGTAGGATTTAGGGCAGGCCCCGTTGAGTTTGGGTCTCGCCGCCGTGGGCGCTGCAGAACTTCTTTTTGATGAACCCTTGGTCTCTTGGTTCCTGGTTTCTCAGGGAAGTGGTCATTTTTTCTGTTTTCAAGGTGTGCCAGGCTTCTTTTGGGTTTAACATTGAAAGCGTGGTGCTGCGGGCTTTCTTGTGTTTCAGATGTTTGTTTCGCATCCTCTAATGGACTGCATTGGACTCTTCGAGTTCCGAAAGCACCTTTAAATCTCGATCATGTCTTGCTTTGGGCTTTTAAAGTGTTTGGATAGGCAAACACATCTGAATGCTGCGGTGTCGGCGCCATTGTGACTCCTCTTAGAAGTGAGCTGCCGGGGATCCGCCGCCGCTTTGAAAGCAATCACTACAAAAGGAAAAGACAAATGGAAATGGAAGACATAAGTGTCACAATTCTTTCCAAAATCAAAGGGTTCGCCCCGCCTGACAAACGAGTCCGCTCTGTTTTTCTGTTGCGTCTTTTGTGTTGGCCATGTTAGCCTTGTGTCTGGGTTGTGAGGCGTGTGAGCATCAGCGTGGCTCCGCGTGCCATTACCTTATGCCTACAACTGCCATCATGATGTTTGTGGTGGGTGGGCGTGGGTGGGCACCAGCATCCTAACCACGCCAAACTCCCTCGTTGAATTGGCTTAGATTGGCTTCTGCGCAGGTGGCTGAGCGTTGAGGGTTTGGAAGGGTAGTTGAATTGGTGTAGCGTAGAACACCAAGCGACTTCAAACGTTCAGCAAGTTTTCAAGGGATGGGGAAGCTCCTGAAAGCATTCCCTTTTCAGGCCTGTTTGGTTTAACTACATGGGCTTTGTAGCTCTTTGTTAGTTTTTCATTGTTCAAGGCTTGGGGGTGTTCTACGTTAGACAGGCGAGTCCGCCAGAATGCTCATTATCTGCCCCAGAATGGAAACGAACCCAAGCGACGACTGATCCCTCCCTCCGGGTCGTTCATGAAATCCTAAGCTGTCATGAGCGTCGTGGTCGATTCTTCCGCCGCTGCTACTGCGGCTTCATGCAGGCTGGCCTACAATGTACTGCCCAACATGACCGACCCAGCGTGTCTTCGTTGCGAGTACTGTGACCTTTCCTTGCCTTTTGTAGTTAGACTAGCACAGTCGCTGTCAAGGAACGGTCGCCGAATTCGCGGCTGCAAGCCCTTGAGAGGACCCGGGTATTGTGAGCAAGCACTGGGGGATCAGACCATTTGAGCGTTGAGCGCAGCCGTTTTTCAACCAACATCAGCCCACGCAGGCGATTCTCGCGGGCGGCGGCAGCAGCAGAGGAGATGGCCAACGCAGTGTACAGCTTGGGTCTCATCACGTCTCATCCACTTGCTGTGGTGTTGTGAAGTGTGAGTTTACGAAATCAGGGATGCCAAATATAGAAGGATTCCCCTACTATAACGCTCCACCGTGCTGTTCACGCGCGCCGGAGCAAGCATGAAGCAGGAGAGACATTAGTTCTACATGGCAGGCGCAGTACTTTGAGGCTTTGTGACTTTGATAAGTCAGGACGGTCGATGCACGGAAACCATCAGATTGTTGGCTAGAAACACGCTGCGGCTTGGGTTTCGGAGACATGCAGGCGGTTAAGTACAGCTGTTTGCGGAGCAAGCTGCTGCGCACATTCTTTGCATGCTACGTACTCACAGTTTGAGCCAGTCCTTGTCCTTTGCAGGGCTGAGAAAGTCTTGTGGCCCATGGCCTAGCTCGTGCACACGGTCCTTTCTGTACAGAGCCAACGCTTTCAGCACGGTCCAGTAGCCAGGATTCCGTCGAAGACGTTGTGTGGCCAAGACAGCACTGTCGATCATCTTTCGTGCGGACATGCATGCTCTGGTAACACGGACGTTATCATTGTGCGGACATGCGTGCTCTGGAAACACGGACGTTATCATCGTGCGGACATGCATGCTTTGGTGACACGGACGTTATCATCGTGCGGACATGCATGCTCTGGTAACACGGACGTTATCATCGTGCGGAGATGCATGCTTTGGTGACACGGACGTTATCATCGTGCGGACATGCATGCTCTGGTAACACGGACGTTATCATCGTGCGTAGATGCATGCTTTGGTGACACGGACGTTATCATCGTGCGGACATGCATGCTCTGGTAACACGGACGTTATCATCGTGCGGACATGCATGCTCTGGTAACACGCACGTTATCATCGTGCGGACATGCATGCTCTGGTGACATGGACGTTATCATCGGGCGGACATGCATGCTCTGGTAAAACAACGGCAGGCGCGACGTTTTCGACTGCAAAGTCCCGGAAACACCGTAAATACCGATGCATTCGATGCCTCCACGCCCGCGCCGCCACCACCCCTCGAAAAACACGACAGGCGCGACTTTTTCAGTAGAAATGTCCACCAAACACCGAAAATACCGACGTGGTCGGCATGTGCGCGGCGCGCGTGAACAGCACGGTGGTGCCTATAACAAGGACCCCCCTATACGGTACCCCCTAATTTTGGAAACCCCCAAGTGATAGCTCAAGGGTGTTAAGAATGAGCCAAGATGACGCTTTGCCGGAACGAAGTCGAGGTTCTTGCGACTTCGCGCACGACGCGGCATTTGTGACTTTCCGCGATCGTCGCCACGCTGAGTTTGCCAGAGGTCTGCGATACAGCGAAAGCCGCCCAGATGCACTGACCACCAGGGATAGGATGGCTTTTGGCATGTCATGAAAGATCCTAAACCCTAAGCCCCAAAACCCCAAAGCCTAAAGACCGTCGCGCCCGTGCCAAAAAGACTCATCAAAGTAGCTCGGATCTGCTGCCCTGAAGCAGTCATGAAACATATGAGACATATACAAGGTCGTGGTCACTTCGCGGTGTCCATGGCTCCAGAGCCATCTGACGTGAATTTTTCCTCCTTCACACGCTCGTCGGCCAGTGTCGAAAAAGGCAGTGCGCTCGTTGGGCGCTTGCTGGTGCCTTGGCTGCCTCGGTTCATCATTTGGTTCTTAAGGGAGGGGGGGTTCAAGCGGGTTTAGGGTTTAGAGGGTGTTTAAGGTTTAGGGTTTAGGGGTTCTGTAACCTAAGCTTCCCTAAGGTTCCCTAGGTACCTGCCTCCCATGAACCCCCCCCCCTCCCTTAAGAATCCTATGGGTTCAGCACGGCTCGGTTGGTGTCTTGCTGCAGTTTGACGAAGAGGGTTTAGGGTTTAGGGTTTAGGGTTTAGGCTTTAGGGTTTAGGGTTTAGGGTTTAGGGTTTAGGGTAAAGAAGCGCGGACTTGGCTCAGGTTGCTTGCGTGTTTTTCTTCTTCCTGCCAGTTGTGAATCTTGGCCTCAATGCATCAGTTCATGCAGCGTCTGCGTGTGGAGATCGATGGTCGGCCAGCATTTCGTTTTGTGAAGTTTGTGTGAAGCAGCGCTGTGCTTTGCTTTGGCTTCCACACTGTTTCCTAAACCCTACTGTAAACCCTAAACCCTAAACCCGGAACCCTGAACCCTAAACCCTAAACCCTAAACCCTAAACCCCACTGTTTCCACGCCATGAGGGTGGGCATTTCGTCCTTGCTGAGCGTCGACTCGCTGGCGCACCTGGTGCCGCGACTCGAGGTGCCAGCTGTGGGGTTTAGGGTTGAGGGTTTAGGGTTTAGGGTTTAGGGATGTTTAGGGCTTAGGGCTTAGGGCTTAGGGTTAGGGTTTAGGGCGAAGCGTGTTGCACATGGGGGTGGTTCTCTACATTCGGGTCCCCTTTCTAAGGGTCCCCTATATAGTACGGCACCCTTATCTCAAGGATCCCCAAAAACAGGGGCCCTATTCTAAGAGCACTACCCACATATGGAAGGGGGGAAAGTGGGAAACGGCGCTGGGCAAGGTGGGGCCCCGAAACAGGTCTGGGCGAGGGAGTACCACTACATCACTGCGGCCTGGGAGGCCTTGCAGGAACCTTAGATGTCAGAATTGGGTTTAGGGTTTAGGGTTTAGGGTTTAGGGTTTAGGGTTTAGGGTTTAGGGTTTAGGGTTTAGGGTTTAGGGTTTAATTATAGGGTTTAGGGTTTAGGGTTTAGGGTTTAGGGTTTAGGGGTTGGCTTCTCTACCCCATTCTTTGCGCTGCCTGCGCTGGGCCTACTGTGCACAGTCTGCACTCCATATACCCGTCGTGGGGGGCATTTTCGCAGCGTCTGTGCAAACACCAGAACACCGGAACATGAGGTTGGGCACAAGCCTGCTTTCCATGCTTATGGATCTTGTGCCTTGGACGTTGTCGCAGGCACGAGAAGTCCATGACAGCTGTCCTTAACTTGCCATGGCTGCTGGATGTTGCTGTATGCACCTGTGACAGTAGCTGAGCTCTGATGTTGGTAGACATCTGAAGCGCAGGTGTTTTCACGATTCTACCGCCTACGGTGTGGCACGAAAGGCCAACACAAGATCCAGCAGCTGGCTTGCACTGCGCTCTTGTGCACTCGCACAAGTCCCCCAGAATCCCCAGAAGAGAGAAATCGAGTGAGAGAGAGAGAGAGAGATGACGGCGGCCAAGGCGGTGGTACTTCACTTTTCTGGATCCTTGGCTTCCTTTTCAGTGGCTCTCCGATTTTGTTTCGATCTTCCGGCTTCTTTGATCTTCAAGATCTGCTGCAAAGCGCCTGAAAGGTTGTTTTCGTGCTGCTGGTTACAGCCGTTGGCACCTCGCTATTTGAAGCAGCGGCGCGCCTTGCGCGCGAACCACTCCAGGCGCAACCTGATGGCGCCCATCGCATGTCAAGGGCTCTTTTCTTCCTCGGATGTTGTTGGGAGATGCATCATTTAGGGTTTATAGGGTTTAGGGTTTAGGGTTTAGGGGTGCAGGTCTGGTACCTTCTTGCCGACCAGCTACCCGACGCGACGAACTTCTACCTGCGCTACGCGGTTCTGCTCTGGAGCACTCCCTTCTTCGATCTTGTGCGGTGCACCGGCCTCAGCCTCCTCGGAGTGTGTGTGTGTGTGTGTGTGTGTGTGTGTGTGTGTGTGTGTGTGTGTGTGTGTGTGTGTCAGCATGCGCCGTGCCCTACGGAACTACTCATGACATGACCTTGAATCCGTATATTTAGGGACATGAAAGTAATGCAGACATTTACTCACGTATACGGGTTTGGCGAGGTATATTGTGTACATATTCATATATGATTATGTATGAGGGCCCCCCCACCCCTGTGGTGTGGTTGTGGGTTTTGAGTATAGGGATGACAAAGCGTCCTAATCTCGTGGTCTACCCTAAAACCCCAAACCCTAAAACCCTAAAACCCTAAACCCTAAACCCTAAACCCTGAACCCTAAACCCTAAACCCTAAACCCTAAACCCTAAACCGTGAACCCTACCAAGAAATGAAGAGCGCCCCGAGGCTTTCCACTGCTCTACTTCTGGAAGGGCCTCCAAGCGGGCGAGTCGGCGGCTCTGTGATTCCCAAAGAGCCGAATACTCCCACTTCTGCTATAGGGTTTAGGGTTTAGGGTTTAGGGTTTAGGGTTTAGAATCATGCTAGGGATGGCGGCATAGTTTAAGGCATACTCCTTACTTAAGGGGGGACTTTTGGGCTCTCTGGGTTGTTCCGGTTGGTGTTCAGCGAATGGGCGGAAGTTGCGAGCTCCTGAGGTTGCCAGAGGTTGCCAAGCAGCTGTCCGAGCCAGAGGATCCCCCACTGGCTGTGCTGCTGTAAAGAACGCACCCACACGCCACACACATACATGGTCTGTTCTAAGCATGGGCATCTTATATCTTATACGCGATACATACAGTATACACTTTAAGCTATACATCATACACTATACATTGCACACTGTAAAGCTTAATACACTATACACTATGCGTCATACATGTTTCATTACACAATATACATTCTACATCACACATCATGCATTATACCGTATGGATAATGTTTGTACATGATCGATGTTACATGGTACATTTGTCGTTATACACGATACATCTGTTGTTAGACGTTATACAGTTCACTGTACACTGTAAGTACAACATTATTATTATTATTGCGCTTATTATTTTTCCTCGATTGCATGCAATAAATATTTATATTTACACATCATGATTTGTTCATAATACAAGATGCATCATGCGTGACGCGTGGCGCATGATGCATGATGCGCTATACCTTGTACGTTGTATGGAGATGGTTTTCCACCCTAAACCCTACACCCTAAACCCTAAACCCTAAGCCCTACAGTAAACCCTAAACCCTAAACCCTAAACCCTAAACCCTAAATAGCCAGGACCAGACCTTCCATGGCAGTGGCGCACGGAGCGCCCGCTGGGCTCTGCACATGGTGCTGGGTCTGACCTTGTGCAGCTGTTCGGGCGCATTTAGGGTTTAGGGTTTAGGTTTTAGGGTTTAGGGTTTGGGCCCTTGCTATCAATTAATACAAGTATGTATTAGTATGAGCGAATTTGTGTTTCGACTTGTCGATTTTAGTTAGTAGGGTTTGGGGAAGGGGTTTTGAGAATGAAAGCCACCTTAAAGGTCGCAAAATCAGTTAGGCTTTTTGTTTCAGGGTTAGGATGCACATCGTTAGGGCCTTAGGAAGTTTTTTGCAGCTCGTCAACTTGGCAGTTACATCCGAAAGCAACCGTGGATTCGGGGGTCCCCCACAAGGCTTGCAGCCGTTCATCCCTCTGATTCTGGCGTTCGGCTTCGCCTTCCGCCGGCTCGCTTACGGATACCTCATTGCAGCTTGCTGGCAGTTCAGGGTGTCGCTTGTGGTTTGGCGTTTGAAGTTCAGTACTCAGCCCTTCCAAGTTGCAGTCTTGCCGCAACAGAAGCAACACAGCACTAACTCACCGCCAACACAACACCAACACGGCACAGGACAGCACAAGACACCACCACGCAACCACACAGGCACGCACACTCGCACATGCGCGCGCGCGTGCGCGCGCTCGTGCACACGCACACGCACACATGCACACATGCACACACGCACACCCGCACACCCGCACACCCGCACACCCGCACACCCGCACACCCGCACACCCGCACACCCGCACACCCGCACACCCGCACACCCGCACACCCGCACGCGCACACCCGCACGCGCACACACACACACACAGACACAGACACAGACACAGACACAGACACAGACACAGAGACAGAGACACAGACACAGAGACACAGAGACACACAGACACACAGACACACAGACACACAGACACACAGACACACAGACACACAGACACACAGACACACAGACACAGACACAACACAGACACAGACACAGACACACAGACACACAGACACACAGACACACAGACACACAGACACACAGACACACAGACACACAGACACACAGACACACAGACACACACACACACACACACACACACACACACACACACACACACACACACACACACACACACACACACACACACACACACACACACACACACACACACACACACACACACACACACACACACACACACACACACACACACACACACACACACACACACCCCTACCGCGCGCACGTAAAGGCACACGTACACGCACACAGACACAAAGAACACATCATGCACCCCAGTATAGGACTTACTGCAATTACCCCCCAAGGCCCCCTACATCAGGGCCCTTGTGCTTGCATGAAAAAATGCCGCCTAAATAATTAGACTAGAATCACCCTCAAAACCCCATTCAAACTGTTGAGGCCCCTACATGAGGTCATGTCTGCATGAAAAAACTGCCCCCAGGACCCTAAACCCTAAACCCTAAACCCTAAACCCTAAACCCTAAACCCTAAACCCTAAACCCTAAACCCTAAGCCACAGCCAGAAGCGGCCTTCAGGTCTTTGTGGAGACGAAGAAGTCCGACTCCGGGGGGCAGCTCTGGAGGGCCCAGATGCTTGGTAGCCCAGTGGTACCCTTTTCCCCTTTTTTGGGTTTAGGGTTTAGGGTTTAGGGTTTAGGGTATACCCAAAAAAAGGGCGCCCTTATTGAAATATGGTTGCTGGGCTACCCAGGATGCAGCACACGCAGATGGGCTTGGTCATCTACATCTTGGCGACTTGGCGAGAAGAGTCGTCTAGGGTTTAGGGTTTCGGGTTTAGAGTTTAGAGTTAAGGGGCTTCGGTGTTCGGCTGTTCTTGGTGGTTTTGCAGGCGTGTTGGCAGAATTATGCGGTACATAGCCTGGCCGGCCAGAACGTGGGGACACTGTATTTCCTTCGGAAACAAACGACCTGACACCCTCAAAGGGAAGTGGTGAGGACCTCCTTTGCAGGTCCGAAAGAACGGTACTCGCACAGCATTTAAACCTTTAACCCTAAACCCTTTAAACCCGAAACCCTAAACCCTAAAAACCCTAGACCCTAGACCCTAAACCCTAAACCCTAAACCCTAAACCCTAAACCCTAAACCCTAAACCCTAAACCCTAAACCCTAAACCCTAAACCCTAAACCCTAAACCCTAAACCCTAAACCCTAAACCCTAAACCCCAACCGAGTCAGGGGCCTCGGATTCCATAAAGCCTTCGGACTTTGGGATTCAGGGTGCAAGGGTTTAGAGTGTGGGGTTTAGAGTTTATGGGCCCTTAATATGGTCCCTCACCCGCTTTGAAGGGCTCTGATGTAGGGGCTTACTGTTGGTTAGGGAACGAGGTACCCCTGTATCCCCCTATATGCACCCCTTTAAGGGATTACACAGGGTACCTCGTTAAACCCCAAACCCTATTCACCTAAGCCCTAAACCATTCCCTAACCAACAGTAAGTGGGTTTTCGAGGGAACCCCCTAAACCCTAAACCCTAAACCCTAAACCCTAAACCCTAAACCCTAAACCCTAAACCCCAGGTGATGACCTTGATCTTGTTGGATCGCGAAGAGTCGATGGTGTCGGGGCCCCAGATGCCATCTTTAGGGTTCAAGAAGGGGAGGGGGTGGAACCCGAAAAGGGGTTTAGGGTTTAGGGTTTAGGGTTTAGGGTTTGGGGTTTGGGGTTTGGGGTTCAGTAGGGTTTAGGGTTTAGGGTTTGGGTTTCCACACCCTAAACTCTGAAGTCCCAGTTGCGTTCAGAGCCCCGGGGGTTCCATCTCGGGACTGGCTTTTTCTGGCTCGTTCTTAGCAGGGAATGAGAGTGGGAGGTTCCCTGAAAAGGGTAAATACATATGTGTAGATATATAGGGTTTAGGGTTTAGGGTTTAGGGTTCAGGGTTTAGGGTTTAGGGTTTAGGGTTTAGGGTTTCCTGAATTTCCCTGAAGCCAGGGCTGCCATCTTCGCCGGGAGCAGTGGCTCCCTGGTGGTGCTCTACTGGTGCCTCGTTGTTCATGGGGTGTCGGGTTGCGGTTTGGGGTTTGGGGTTTAGGGTTGAGGGTTGAGGGTTGAGGGTATAGGGTTTAGGGTTTAGGGTTTAGGGTTTAGGGAGAACATGGCGAAACTTCGATCCACTCCCAGAAAACAACTTGGGTAAGTCCCAAAACAGGGGGACCCCTTATTTATCCCCCCAAGTGCCAAGTGCTATAGTCCTTATTCTGGAGACCCTTACAAGGGCACCCCTATTTTTCGGAGACCCCCAACATGGTTCAGTTTTGTGCAGCTGGCATGTTGTTGGGGGCTGGGGGGTGAACTTTGGGTTGCTTCTGACGGACATCTTCGTTATGAATAACTGGGATATTGTGGAGTCAGACATGTAAGGGGTATAAGGAGCCTAAGTAGCCACTAAACAACCCTAAGGTCCCTTGTAAGGGTCCCTTCTTTAGTCCCTTGAGTCATCTTCTGAACGCTGCGCTGTTACGAGCGTTCAGTACTCGTTCATCACTTTTGGCGAACATAAACACGGTACCAACAGACTTGACCCTTATCGTACTTGCAATAGGTTCTCGGGATGAGAACGTTATCTTTTGGAAATCGCACTCACTAGCGCCTAAGTTTCGTGGCGCTTTTGACGCTCCCGTGTAGCATGGCAACCTATGCGCCCGCACCCCAATGGTCTCCGTTTGACTGCATGTCGAAGCTAACCTCGCCAGGTTTTGGTGGCCATCTCTCTTCGATCTGACATCGCTGCCTGTGCAACAGGCCCTAAACCCCAAACCCTAAACCCTAAACCCTAAACGCCAAGCCCGTGGCCAGAAGCTGCCAGCTGCCGTCGTGCACCCACACGCTGGCACTAAGCTCCCGCGTTGAGGCTGAGTTGAAGCCAGCCTGCTTGGGACGCGGCTACGATGAGGGCGAGACCTCCACTGTGCAAAGTCCTTCGCCCTACCTGCAGCCGGATGCCCGACTGCACTGAGGTCACTTTCAGGTTAGGGTCCCCTGTGTGAGCAACACGGCAGCAGCCCCGCAAGAAGAATCTCGGTAGGCCCCTGGGATGCTTTATGGGTTTCGGGTTTAGGGTTTAGGGTTTATGTTTTCCCTTATTGGGTTTAAGAGGATCAGAGTCAGGAATATTTTTCAGAGGGGTTTTAAGGCCATCCTAGTAATCTAGACTCGAAACTGCTCAATTCCGAGGAGTTCTAAGCAAGGTCCGTTTCAAAACAAAAAATCAAAATAATGATAATACAAATGATAATAATAATAATTATTATTATCATGATAATAATAAGGAGCTCCGCCAAACTCTGCCGGTGGCCGCTCTGCTTCGGCCGTGGCCTCAGTTTAGGGTTTAGGGTTTAGGGTTTAGGTTTTTTTAGGGTTTAGGGTTTAGGGTTTAGGGTGGTTCTGGGGGAGTGCGGGGCGAAGGGGTTTAGTTCGGCATGTTGCTGAAAGGCCCTACCCTGTCCTATTCTCCCTACAGTCAAGCCACACACCCTCACCCTAAACCCTAAACCCTAGAAGCCGAACTGCCCGATGAAGCGGCACGGACCCCTAAACCACACACAGCCCGAGTGTTTAAGGAGGGACCCCTAGAAGGGACCGAAGGGACCCTTAATCGTACTCCCCTGTATAACCCCTATATATATATATGTACATATATATATATATATAACCTTATACAGCCCCTGTAGGCATAAGTGGCCCTTAAAGAACCCCCTAAAGTTCCTTATAGGGGTCCCTCCTTTCGTCCCTTGAACCCTAAACCCTAGCCCTAAACCCTAAACCCCAAACCCCAAACCCTAAACCCTAAACCCCTCAGTCCCTTTCGAGGGTGCCATGCAGAGCCTTACATTTTGAGCATCCCCAGGCAGGACTGGGACGAGTGGGACCGGGTCCGGGCGACAGCTGTGGAACCTGGAAGCACGCAACCATCGTCAGGCCCGTTGGTCTGGGGTTTAGGGTCTAGGGGAAAAATTTGGGGGTTTAGGGTTCAGGGTTTAGGGTTAGGGTTTAGGGTTTAGGGTTTAGGGTTCAGGGTTTAGGGATGTGAGGTTGATTATGGTTTATGGATTTTGCCCCTGGAGCTGAACATTCCCTCAATTGCGGACGTATCCCTGAAACTATGTAGGGGTCCTCTGAACGAGTAAGACACATGCTTTCATTCAAGGGTATTGGGCTTTCTGGGTGATGTTCGGGATGCATCGAGCGCCGGTGACAGAAGAAGAGTCCAGGGGCGACTTTCCGACACTGCAAACAGCTCACCAAAGCAAGGATCCGGACCAGCGCAGGCTTAAACCAAGCAATGTTTGCATCCACTTGTGCACAGCTTGTCGCGGTTCCCATTATGAGTAATATTTACGTAATATAGAGATCTATACAGTGAGATCTATATATAAATATGTATTTATTTCCAGTTACTTATTTATTCATATGTGTACTATTATTTGTAGTTGTATATATGTTTTTGCTGTATATTTATATTAATATTTATACTTATATATATATATATATTGATATATACTGATTTATTTACATTTATATTTATATTTATATGTATATATATATATATATAAAACTGTATGTATTCATGTTCATATTTGTATGTATATTTATTTTCTATCTATATTTATATTTATATTTATATATATATATATATTTATTTATTTATATTTATATTTTTTATATTTGTATTTGTATTTATATTTATATTCATATCTATATTTATATTTATATTTATATTTATACTTATATATGTTGATATTTATATCTATATTTGCATTTACATTTAGATTTACATTTCTATTTACATTTATGTTTACACTCATTTGTTTGTTTTCTTAATGGGTGATTTGTAAAAGTTAAAAATGGCCTGCACCGCAGCTAGGCGCTGACGGAGCCATCTGTGGGTCGAGTCGACCAGGGACTGCTTGTCGAAGACCGACGCGGCTGCTGAGATGCAGTTTAGGCTTTGGGGTTTGGGGTTTGGGGTTTAGGGTTACATGTGTCCCCGATGCGGCGCCTTGCGAGAATTTCGAGACCCGAGCACGGTCCCATGGTTCAGGGTTTAGGGTTACTTAGCAGTCGTTGAGACCCTAAACCCTAAACCCTAAACCCTAAACCCTAAACCCTAAACCCTAAACCCTAAACCCTAAACCCTAAACCCTAAACCCTAAACCCTAAACCCGAAACAAACCCTCAGCTCATCACGGCCTTGGTGCACTGCCGGCTTTGAAGTTGAGCTGAGGTCGCTCCTGGCTTGGGTCTGCCCGGGACTGTCAGGCATGGCTGTGCGCGAATGAGGAAAAGGGCCGCAGCGCAAATGGGTTTAGGGTTTCGGGTTTAGGGTTTAGGGGGTCTAGGGTTTAGGGGTTGTAGGGTTTCGGGTCTAGGTTTTTTGGGTTCAGAGGATGACAATCAAGGTACAAGATGCTCTGATGTCTGGGGGTTTTAGGGTTTAGGGTTTAGGGTCAGCATGTATCTGACTTGCCTGGTGGCATCGGCCAGGCCCTGTTCTTCCGTGCAGAACCTTCTAACGGTAGTTTGATGGGCCCCTCAGATGTCCCTTACCTCCGTTAAAGGGTGCTGATGTACGGGCCGGTATGTAAGGGGTCCCTTCATAAGGGCCCATACTAAGGAGTATGGACCATGAAACTACCCTAAATCCTAAACCCTAAACCCTAATCAAACCCTAAACCTTAAACCCTAAACCCTAAACCCTAAACCCTAAGAAACATCGGTTCCTGCGGTTGCCAAGCTGAGGAGAGGAGTGGTCTCCTGGGGCGTTGACAGGCCTCTGAAGACTCTTGCCAGGCGTCTACCTGCAGAGGTTTTCTGTTAGGGTTTAGGGTTTAGGGTTTAGGGTTTAGGGTTTAGGGTTTAGGGTTTAGGGTTTAGGGTTTAGGGTTTAGGGTTTAGGGTTTAGGGTTTAGGGTTTAGGGGATTTCCATGTCAGTGTGCAACTTGCTGTCTTAGCTGGAATTTGTCATTCCGAAAGCCGCTGAGCGTTTGCTCGCCAGGTTAATGCCGACTCCCGGGCTTCGGCACATTGCGCCCAGCTGTCGATTTTGCATATTCAATTTGTTGTTTGTCATTTTTGCCTGCTTGTGACTAGTATTCTTCTAGTTTACTGTTATTATTATGATGATGATCTTCTTCTTGTTGGTATTTCTACTATTGTTATGAGTGTTATTTAGTTCTACATATATATATATATATATATATATTCAAGCAACAGAGCTCCAGAGTGTTCGTGGTAGTACAGGACTTCAGCTGTAGCTGAACAGCAGAACAGTTGGACTCCGAACTCCTTCGCCCCGCCCCCAAAGGCCCAAAAGCGTGCGGAGACCCTGAGGTCAAGTCTGCCATCCCTGGCATGCACAACATCATGACGGCGCGCGGTCCAAGTACTTTGCCCGACAGGGTTCCGCACGACAAAGCTGAAGGGCCGAGTGTGATGGGTTGCCCTCTGTACTACCGCCCCCTAGGTTCCCATAATTAAGGCGATTTAGGGATAATTAAGCCTAATTAAGGTTATTTAAGGGGGGAATCTAGGGGGGGTAGTATAGGGGGCCCAGCGACATTCCCAGCAAGAAGCAACAGTAAACGTCAACAACAGGTATAGCAGCACCAAGCTACTGCAAGGATGATAATCGTGGTGGTCATAATGCCCCCTCATACTAACAGTCCTTAATAGGGATTCTAGTACCCCCTATGGTATTCCCCCAGACAGTGAGAATAACCTTCATTCGGGTTGACCCGCAGCGGGCCGCTAACAGTCTTTAATGGGGTTTGTAATTGGGGCGGGGCGGGTACGAGAATCCCTATTAGGGACTGTTAGTATAAGGGGGAACATCCCAAACGATAACAGTCAATCGGAGGGAACCCTAAACCCTAAACCCTAAACCCGAAACCCTAAACCCTAAACCCTAAACCCTAAACCCTAAACCCTTCTGATTTTGAGAGGGCTTGCTGCTCTTCTTTGCGGTGAATCTGTGGCCGCCTCGGCTCTGCGCTGCACCCGAAATCTCAAGAGTTTTAAGGGAGTTGATCCTTTTGGGGTTTAGGGTTTAGGGTTTAGGGTTTAGGGTTTAGGGTTTAGGGTTTAGGGTTTAGGGTTTAGTAACCTCAGGGTCCATCTAGGCAAAGTAGGAGTCTGATTTCTTGCCATAAAACCCATTGAAAGTGGTAGGTCATCTTCAATTTTCTTCTCGTGGTTTTTGCTACAAACAATGTTGTTACTTGTTTCATCATCAGTGTTTGATTGTGATACTTGATGGTGAACACTGTTGTCATTCTTATTGTATGACTGTGAGCATTGGTTCCTTTTTGTATCGTTCTTGTTACCACTACTTTTATTCTTTGTTTTTTGCTATGTGATTTTTGGCCTTGATGTTTGGGATGTTCCCCCTTATACTAACAGTCCTTAATAGGGACTGTAGTACCCCCTTTTATATCCCTATTAAGGCCTGTTAGTCTAAGGGGGAACATCCCAACTTGTTATCGTGATTGTTGCTGTTGTTGATGGCCGTGCTCATTGTTGATCCTTGGGTGCATCCTACTGGTATCCTTGGGGTGTGTGCCTTGGGATGCTCCCCCTTATATTAGCAGCTCCTTATTTGGGATTATACTAGGGGGTATTATCATCCCTATTAAGGGCTGTTAGTATGAGGGGGAACATCCCAATATGTGCCCCCCCCCCCCCCCCCCCCAGTGTAGGCTTCAAGCTGTACAGACCGACAAACCCTAAACCCTAAACCCTAAACCCTAAACCGTCAAGCCTTCGAGGCTGACAGCAGCGGTACCAGCAAGCTTTCAAGTCGAGCTGCCGAACAGCTTGAAGGCATGCCCGCATGAGTTGGGGGGGCTGTTGGTCTTTACTACTACTTGCGTAAGGACCCGCAAAATTTATAATATATTCCTCCTTATCATAAGGGCAATATAGGGATTTTCTTTTTTTTTTTTTTGGGGGGGGGGGGGGGGGTGGGGTGGGGGTTCTTAAGCAAATGGCACTCGTAGTTTAGGATGTCTTGGCCCTTGGAAGGTTTAATGTTAACATCAGGCTCGAGGGGTGAATCTCAGAAAGGCTTTCTGGGCACAGAGATCTGCAGAGCCAAATCACCGAGGACAGCTGTTGTGCTCAGGGCACCTATACGAACAGTCCTGAATAGGGATAAAAAGTACCCCCTATTATAATCCCGACTAAGGACTGTTGAGTCTAAGGGGGAACCCCAAGGTACCAGAAAGGAAGGAAGGAAGCAACCCTAAACCCTAAACCCTAAACCCTAAACCCTAAACCCTAAGGTCGAGAACTCAAACTTAACCTTGCTAGGGCCGCGTGATGGTCGGCGGCCCTACTCGGAGGGTCATGGCACTTATTAAACCAATTCCAGCGGTACTTTTTACCCACTTATAAGCCCCTTAAGTGCCCGAAACCCTAAACCCTAAACCCTAAACCCTAATATCGTTATTACTGTACTTCTGGGTAAGAAGTACCATGAACCTCCAAAGGGCCATAATCCAAGCCCTCTGGGCCAGGCCATGGATCCCGATGGCAACGGCATCCTCACAGGCACGGAGCTGGAGAGCCTTGGCAGGCTAGGACCCTAAACCCTAAACCCTAAAAACCCATAAACCCTGTAAACCCTATAAACCCTAAAACCCTACAAACCCTACAAACCCTATAAACCCTATAAACCCGATAAGCCCCATAAACCCTATAAACCACATAAACCCTAAACCCTGCCATGGGATCCTTCTGACTGGATCCATCCCCTCGCAGCCGAGGACTGTGGTCGAAAAGCTGTCAATCCAGCTGCTGTCGGTGCTTTGCATGCAAAGATCTCTTCCGCCGAGCCGCTGCTGTGAGTGCAATCTTGTTGGGAGGTTGCCCCCTTTTTCTAACAGCTCCGTCATAGGGATTCTAGTGCCCCCATAAGTTAAATCCCTAGTTAAATCCCTATTGAGGCGCTGGTTAGTAGAAGGGGGGGCGACTATCCCAAGAGCAATCCGTCGAGGTGGTGATCTACCTGGAGACCGGCCTGTTTGGGCTGAGCGCCCTCGCGAAGCCGAAGGACTACGAGGCTGCTGTGTTTCAGGGTTAGGGTTTAGGGGTATCGGCTTTAGGTTTAGGGTTTAGGGTTTAGGGTGATTGCTTCGCGCGCACTCTTCTCTTCAAGTCTCCACTGCTCCAAGCCAGGTGGGATTAGGATTCCTCCCTCTTCTTCTTGCGACTAGACTTATTCTTATTCTTGCCTTCGCAACGTTCGTATTGATTTTTGGTTCCATTGTAGCGTGAGAATGTTGTCTGTTGCCATTTGGGAGATGCACTGCCATCTGGAAGCCAGCGTGGCTTCACACTTATTAAGTTTGACCACAAATCCTGATTTGGGTGTTTATAGTTTCCACTAGCATGAACCACTCTGCCGTTTGACACTGTGCATTATAGAATTCACCAGTGATTTCTTCTTTGTTAATTGCTACTTCATTCTTTGTTCTGTCCTCTTTGGTGTACTCATTGTCTGTGAGACTCTCTGTGAGACAAGTATTGTTTTCTGACATGTGCAAGAAAGTTGCTGTAGTATTATTGGTTGGTCGTATGCTATGTGTTGTTGCTTATTTCGCAGTTTACTGTTGCTGCTGTTGCTTGTTATCATTACTTTCCTCTTGTTAACTACGCACCAATCACTCACGAGTCTGGCTTTTCGTTTTACAGTGAGATTCGGTATTATACATGTATCGATAAGTTTTAAAGCTTGTTTTAGGTTGTGCCAATATACGGTGCCATTGGTTGTTCCAAAATGTTCGGTTTGGTAGTTTGGTATTGTGTTCTTTGCTGACCATTGTTTTGCTATTAGTACTCCCGTCCGCGTATTCTTGGTAAGTGTCCGTATCAATCATGGTTTCCGTTGCGTTTCATATTGTCGAATGTGCTTATGGTAGACTAAACCTCTTGTACTGTTGTTCATCAGTATCATTGGTGCTTGCTGCAAGTATCGTAAAGTACTTGTGTTGCTAAAGTCTTGGGATGTTCGCCTTTCTACTAGCAGTCCTGAATCGGGATTACAGTGCCCCCTATTATGATCCCTACCAAGGACTGCTAGTATAAGGGGGAACATCCCTAACCCTAAACCCTAGACCAAAAACCCGAAACCAAAAAAACCCTAAACGGTATTCGTTCTGAGCATCCCGAAGATCTGACAGATTCAAAGAAACGTGAAGCCTGGGCCCAGCAATGCACCCCCCAAAAACCAAAAGACTCTGGAACCAAAGAATCAGTTGGAGACCTAACCCTAAACCCTAG